CCGCGCCAGCGGTAGCAACTCCTGACTCAGGGGGCCTCCGAGGGGAGGGGAAGGAGGAGAAGGTGGGGGGAAGGGTGGGGGGGCAATTCCCAAAAAATCTTGTGCTGACCCGGCCCGTCTGTCAAATTTTAAAAGTCAATGCGGCCCCCAAGCCAAAAAGTTTGCCCACCCCTGCTATAGAGCCAGCTATGATCCCTACATAACCTCTGTATGACCTCATAGGAATCTGACAAGAGTGTTGTAATGATGAGGCAGTCGAGTTGTTTGATCATGAACAATTGAATTATGATGATCTTTATTGAAGTATAGTCTTGCATTTATATACATTTTTAGTTATCCTCCATCATTGGTTAACTTTGGTTACTGCTTAACTTTCGTTACTGTTTAGTACAGTAATCCATACAATTAATTATCTCTAGTTAAAGTCTAACATATGTCTACTTCCCCTCTCTAATCCTCCTTTATCCATAGATTAGTGACTTTGTTTGCCTGAGTTGTATTTGCTTGGAAACATTCTTTATCTGAGGTTTGCCATCCGAGATTGGAACATTCCTACAATTACAACTCTACACAAGAGCCTATAGAATATTAAAGAACATGTTCTTGCACAGGAACAAGAAGCTCAAATACAAAGGCCAAAGAAAGCCCAAAGAAAGTATAAAAGCCCACCCACTCTCAACTTCATTTTGTCAATTGCCCAGAATCACATGTGGTTCTGCTTCATCATTAAACCATCTTTCCAATCATTCTCCATGTTTCCAGTGTCTTCCTCCCAGCTTGGAACTGAACCAGATGAATATTTCTCCCAACAGTCTATATTTGTCAACAAGGACTCTCAGGGTAACAAGGACTCTCAGGGTACAAAGAATCACATGGTCCCTTGCTAGTTGGCCATAAAGTCTCTGGAAAGAAATTGCAAGATATTTTGTTCTAATGTCATAGGATGACATTAGATGAAATTGACCTTTTTGTAACCCTAACCCTTTGCATTCCTGTCATTAAAAAGACTCTAAGGCAGTGTTTTTCAATTTTGGCCACTAAGATATGTGGCTGCTGCCTAGAGAATTCTGGGAGTTGAAGTCCACAAATCTTAAAGCGGCTAAGATTAAAATGTATTGCTGCAAAGGATTTGAGTCCAGGAAAATATATTTCTGGACATAATCACCTGACTGGGAGCTGCCCTGGACTGCAGAAGGGAGGGAGCTGAAGCTCTTAATTATGGATGGGGATTTAGGCTGCTGGATTGGATTTAGTACATTTGATTGATTTCACACATTAGGCTAAGGTTTGATTTATTTGTGCATGATTAACTAAACAAACCCAATTACCAGATTAATAAGACACATCAATCCATAAAATATGGTTTTAAAATCCCAATGGCTGAGGTCATGAAGAACAATATTTAAAAAGGTTAGTAAAACCTATGTATGTGCAAACTCTTTCAGAGACCGAGCAAATAATCTGAGCTATTTTTAATTTTTGAGGTTCCCAGTCATAATAAAAATATATTCACACAAAGATTGAAATGATATGTGAATATCTTTTTTCAGTTAAAAAAAATAACAAACAACTGTCTCAGTTTGAGGCCCAATTAGAATTTGATTCTCAAATGTCACTCCTGAGTCTCTCCTTTCTTCAAATTTGCTCCATGAATCTGTTATTCCACTGGAGAGAATTATGGGCACATGTGCACACAAACATATATACAGATAAAAACAAAAACATTATTATATTTAATTAGGTAGCCCCATATAGACTGTTTTACAATAATCTAGTCAAGAGATTACCATGTTCAGCTGGTGTACAAAACAAAGCTGAGCAAAGGACTTAGATGAAATGAGATTTGAGCAGGAATCATGAGACTGTGAGATTCTGTCCTCAGCAATCTAAAATTAATAGGGTTACCAGTACATGTAACATAGATGTTTGTGCAGGTAAGATTACCAACCTTGCTGTCAAGCAAAACCAAGCATTTAATAGCGAGTGCCATACCATGCGCACTAATCAAGCAGGTGGCAAGAAAGGGGCAGTCAGGCACAACACAGGTTATGTAGACAGTAAACACAGTGTCAGACATAAAAATCTCAAGTGCCTAATATATAAATGCACAAAGTCTGGGGAACAAACAGGGTGAACTCAAACTACTAATACATGAAGGTAGATATGATATAGTTGGAATAACAGAAACTTGGTGGGATGAAACCCATGATTGGAACATACTGGTAGAAGGATACAAACAGTTCAAAAAAAACCAGACCCTATAAAAGAGGAGGTGGAGTTGCACTGTATGTAAAGGGCTACTATATTGCTACATAAATGTATGAAACCAAAGAGGAAAACCTCCTAGAATGCATATGGGTCAATATAAAAGAAAAAAAGAATGACATGGCCATAGGTGTATATTATAGGCCACCCAACCAAGCAGAAAAAATAGATGATCTTTTTGCCAACCAACTAACAAACATAAGCAGGAAACACACTACAATAGTAATGGGGGACTTCAATTATCCTGATATCAATTGGAAAACAAATTCTGTACCAAGTGAGAAATCAAATAAATTCCTAACCAAACTAGCTGACAACTTTGTTGTCCAAAAGGTAGAGGATAGAACTAGAGGGACAGCCATACTAGTCTTAATTCTTACAAACAGGGAAGAAGTGATAGAGGGAGTTGAAACTGCAGGAATCTTGGGCGAGAGTGGTCATGTCATACTAGAATTCAACATAACACAAACACAAGCAATAGAACATAATGACACCAGAGTCTTGGATTTTAAAAGAGCTGATTTTAATAAACTCAGAGAGAACTTGGGAAAGATTCCATGGATGAAAACCCTAAAGGGAAAAACAACTCAAGAATCTTGGGAAACTCTGAAAAGTATGATCATAGAAGTCCAGACCAGCACAATACCACTGAGAAAGAAAAACAAGAAATCCAAGAAGAAACCAGCATGGCTGCACAAAGATCTCTCTGGCAAATTGAAAGAAAAAAAGGACAAGTACAAAAAATGGAAAGAGGGACATAAAACTAAGGCAGAATATCAGCAGATAGCCAGAACATGCAAAGATGAAGTCAAGAAAGCAAAAGCTCAGAATGAACAAAGACTTGCAACAAAAGTCAAAGATAATTTTAAAAAGTTTCTTACAACATATAAATAACAAGAAAAAAATCAAGGAAGCAGTCGGTCCATTAAGGAGAGAAGACAGCAAGGAAGTAACAGGCAACAGAGAGAAAGCGTAGCTGTTTAACTCATTCTTTGCATCAGTCTTCACGTAAAAACAAACTATAGCTCAACCCACCAAAAACATAACTGTAATAGACAGACCAGAAATAAAAGTTAAAATAAGCAAAAAAGATAGTAAGAGAACACCTGTCTACATGGAGGGAAGTAAGCAGTGGGGTGCCACAAGGTTCCGTCTTAGGCCCAGTACTCTTCAATATCTTCATTAACGACATAGATGAGGGAATAGAAGGGGAATTTGCCAAATTTGCAGATGATGCTATTGGCAGGAATAGCTAACACCCTAGAAGATAGGCTCAAGAGCCAGATGGACAGACAGAACACTGGGCCATATTTAACAAAATGGAAGTCAATGTAGAGAAAAGTAAAGTCCTACACTTAGGCAAGAAAAACCGAAAATACACATATAGACTGGGTGAAACTTGGCATAATAGCAGTAACTGTGAGAGGGATCTTGGAGTCTTAGTGGACAACCAGCTAAATATGAGCCAGCAGTGTGCAGTAGCAGCCAAAAAAGCTAATGCAATCTTAAGTTGAATTAACAGGGATACAATCAAGATCAAGTGAAGTACTAATACCACTCTATAAAGCCTTAGTAAGACCACACCTAGAATACTGCATCCAGTTTTGGTCACCACACTATAACAAAAGATGTTGAGACTCTAGAAAAAGTACAGAGAAGAGCAACCAGGATGATTAGGGGACTGGAGACTAAAACATATGAAGAACGGTTCTAGGAACATGGCAAGTCTAGTGAAGAAAAGGACCAGGGGAGACATGATAGCAGTATTCCTGTCAACTAAAAAGATACTCCTTTGGTCTTTTTAGCTGCCAGAAAAAGGGAGTGGGGGAAAACAAGGCATTTTTGAAATGCTTAGGTAATCACCTCGGCAGCCCAAAGTTGTCAGAGCATAAGAAGGTTATTGGAGAGCATGATGGATGACTCTTGTCCCATTGGAGAAATCACATCCAGGGGGTGGGGGAAAGATCAGGGTCAAGGGAGAAATTTAATATCGGCTGTACCCAGCCATGCACCAACATGGCAAGTTCTAATAAACCAATTTACTTTTTTCTGAAATGTGGCTAGAGAGTTTTTTTTAAAAAAATAAATTTTATTAATTTTACAATTAAAAAAACAGATCTACAACATATACACAAAAAACAAGGCCTTGACGGGCCAGAAAAAAGAAGAAAGAGAGAAATGTGAAAAGGGAGAAAAAGGGAAGAAAAAAGAGAGAGAAAAGAAAGAGGAACATTTAAAAAACAATATCCTTTTTGACAGTCTGTAAGATCTTTTCTTCTTAAATTGTGTTGTATACGCACATTTTATCGGTATCTATACTTAAATTACCCTCGACTAAGTTTCTCTTATAAACGGTCTATCTTTGATTTAACCAGTTATACCAGGGATTCCAGTTATTATAGTATATTGAGGACTCTTTGTTTTTTAAGGCTAGAGTTAATTTGTCCATTTCTGCGCACTCTAATATTTTCTGGATAATCATCTGTTCTGTGGGTGTGTAAGGTAATTTCCAGCACTGAGCGAACACTAGCCTGGCCGCAGTTAAAATATGGATTATTATATACTTCATCTTTTTTGATAATTGTTTGTCAAAAATCCCTAATAGGAAGGACTCTGGTTTATATTCAATTTGTTCTTTGGTTATCTCCTCCAACCATTTTCTAATTTTTTGCCAGTATTTCTGGGTTTCCTTGCATGACCACCATATGTGGAAAAAAGTTCCGTCTATGCTTTTACATTTCCAGCATTTTGGACTCGTGTTGGGGTGCATTTTCGCCAACTTCGAAGTGGGCAGGTGCCATCTGTAAAACATTTTGTATGTATTCTCTTTATAAGCTGCCGATTTTGTGATCTTGATATTTCTATTCCAAATCCTTTCCTATTCTGTTAGTGTAATACTCCGTCCAACATTCCTGCTCCAGGCTATCATATTTCCTTTGACTATCTCTTGTTCTAGTTCTACTTCCAGTAAATATTTGTAAAATTTAGATATATTCTTTTTGTTTGGTCCTAATAAAATTTTGTCTAAGTACTGCAGTTTGTTATAAATTCCAAAATCTTTGTTGTCTTGTTTATATCTACTGTGGATTTGAAGGTATATGATCAATTTTAAATCCTCGCTCTTGTAATTCTTGTCGTGTTTTCAGTTTTCCTTGTGGGTCTAATAAATCTTTGTATTTTATCATTTTTGTAATGTCCAGGTTATTAGGGTGTACCATTGCCTCCATTGTTGATAGCCAAATCGGTATTTTTAGATAGTGTTTTTTGCGTACTTTTTTCCAATTAGTTAATAGTGAGTCCCTGATAAGATATCTATGAAAGTATGACTGCTTGGGTTTCCCCACTTCCCATAAAAAGGCGTGCCACCCTCTCTGCAGATCGTGACCTTTTAATAATAGTGTTCTTTTGTTGAGTAGGTTCACCCAGTCTTTTAGCCATAATAAGGTGGCTGCCGTGTGATATAATTCCCAATTTGGGAGAGCTAGTCCCCCTCTACTCTTCAAATCTTGTAATGCCTTTACATTGATCCTGGCTTTCTTTCCCTGCCAAATAAATTTGAGTGTTATCTTATTTAGTTCTTCAAAGAATTTTTTATGTAATTTAATTGGAATTGTCTGAAATAGGTATAGAAATTTTGGTAGTATGTTCATTTTAATCGAAGCAATCCTGTCCAATAGAGAAAGCTGCAACTTGCTCCAGGTTTCTAAATCTTTCTTTACTTGTTGGAGTAATTTATCATAATTATTCTCTTTAAGTGATTTATCTTGTGGTGTTAACCATATTCCTAGGTATTTGACTCTTTTTGTTACCTGTATCCCCATCGTTACCTCTAATTCTTTTTTCTGGTCTTCTGTTAAGTTTTTGGTCATTAATTTTGTTTTTTTTTCTATTGATTTTAAGTCCTGCAACTGTGCCAAATCGTTCTAATTATTTTATTAAATTGTATCCTTTTTCTATAGGTTCCTCCAAAAAGACCATGTCGTCAGCAAACGCTTGTAATTTATATTCTTCTGATTTAATCCTCAATCCTTTAAATTTCAGAATTTTGCCTAATGCATGTTAAAAGTGATTCTAGAGCGAATATGAAGAGAAGAGGTGAGAGAGGGCAGCCCTGTCTAACACCTTTTTCTATTTTTATTGGACCTGTTTGTTCCCCATTTATTAATATAGTGGCCTGTTGTGTGTCGTAAATTGTTGTTATAATATTTTCAAATTTAGTGCCAAGACTCATGTTGTTAATTTTTTGAATTAGAAAATGCCAATTTAAATTATCAAATGCTTTTTCTGCGTCTAAGAACATAAGTGCGAATTGTTTCTCCGGATGGGCTTCATAGAATTCTAAGACATCAATAACTGTTCTTAAATTATTCTTTATTTGTCGAGACGGGAGGAATCCATTTTGGTCTTCGTGAATGTGTGGGTTTAATACTTGTTTTAATCTATTAGCTATAATGGAGGAGAATAATTTATAATCAGCGTTTAGGAGTGAGATTGGTCTGTAATTATTAATATATCTGTGGTCTACATCCTCCTTCGGGATTAGCGAAATCAATGCTCCCCTCCACGAGTCTGGCATCTTAGCTGCTAGAAGTACCTCATTAAACACTTCCAACATCAGTGGTCCAATTAGTTCCATGGTTGCTTTATATAATTCTGCCGGAATCCCATCTGGTCCTGGAGATTTGTTATTACTTTGATTCTCTATTGCTGACTTCAATTCGGACCATGTAATATCTTTATTTAGTAATTCTATCCATTCCTCTCCAATTTGTCGTTCGTTTCCTCTAGATAGTTTCTTATTTTATCTTCGTTGACTTCTTCCTTTTTATATAATTTTTGAAAGTATTTGTGAGTGATACCTTTTTTCTTTTCTATCTCGTGTTGTAAATCGCCCTTCTCATCCATTATTTGGTGTATCAATCTCTTTTCTTTCCCTTTTTTAAGTTTGTGGGATAACCATCTTCCTGGTTTATTTGCATACTCAAAATAAATTTGTTTGGTCATTTTCAGGTTTGTTTCCATTTTTTCTTGTTCGAATAGGTTCAATTTATGTTTAGTTGTTATTAACTGATTTTGTATTCTTTGGTTTTTGGGGTTTTTTTGTAATTGAATTTCTAATTCCTTAATTTGTTGTTGTAATTTGTTTTGTTGGGCATATTTTCTTTTATTTCTCATGGCATTATAAGAGATTGTTATTCCTCTTATGATTGCCTTCATTGTATCCCAGATATTTTGTTTCGAGGTTGCTTCATTATTATTTTCTTTTAGGAAATAATTTAATTCCTCTTTCAGCTTATTAATATACTCTTCTTCACTTATTAAATGAGTGTTTAGTGTCCATCTTTTCTTTTTTTTCTCCTACCTGTCCAAATTATTTGAATTGGGTTATGGTCGGCCCATTCGTTTGGTAAAATTTCAATTTCTTTTGTTTCATTTACCAATTCCCCATTCATCCAGGCCATGTCTATTCTTGTCCATATTTTATGCGGGTTAGAGTAATATGTAAATTGTTTATCT